TCGCGCCCGCGGCGACGATCGCGGAGACGGGTCCGAGAAGCGCGAACCCGGCGCACGCGCCCACCGCCGCCGCGCCCGCGACGGTGCTCGTTCCTCCGCCGCGTTCGCCGCCGCCGCCGCCGCCGTCGCCGCCGTCGCCGCCGTCGCCGCCGCGCTCGTCCCGACCGCGCCTCGCTCGCGCGTCGACTCCAGCTCACGCGCCCGCTCGCGATACTCCGTCGCCTTGCGCGCCATCGACGACGCGTCCTCCGTCGAGGTCGCCATCGCGGCGTCGCGGTCGAGCGCATCCGCGGCGTCTCTGTACGCGCGCGCCGCCTCGCTCGCGTCGCCGGCGAGATCTGCGGCGACGGCGCGCTTGGCCAGGTCGATCGCCCATCGCGAGGGCGGCATGACGCGCGGGCGTCGACGGGCGCGCGGACGACGTGTGCGGTCGCGACGCGCGCGCGTCGCGAGGCGGTCGAACGCCCCGCGTCTTCGCGAACGACGCGGCGAACGACGCGCCCGAGCGTCGCGCGCGAAGACGCGCGTGACGTCTACGAATGATCTCCTCGGTTACAAAACAACTAGCCCGTCGCGGCGCGGCGGGCGCGACGCGCGCGCGTCGACTCATCGCGCGCGCCCGCGACCTCTTCCGCGGCCTCTCCCGCGCCCCGCCGCCGCCGCCGCCTTCGCCCGAGGCTTCCCTTGCTTGGGCGTGTCGTCCACCAACAACGTGTCGAGGTTGAGCGAATCCGGAAGGATGTAGTACCGAATCGTGTTCCCGCGCACGCTCAGATGTTCCACGTTGGTCGGGTTTTTCCCCTTGAGCGTCAGCTTCACCTGCTTCAGGTGCGTGTTCATGCTCACGTCCACGCCTGCGCGCGCGCGAATACACAACACCGATCGCGTCTCGTCAGTCACACCGCGCGTCGTCCAATCCTCGCGCGTCGTCCGCGCGTCCGCGCGCGCGTCGCCGCCGTCTCGCGTCGTCGCCGCCGCCGCCCATCCCCCGAAGCGTCCCACCGCGCGCCGTCGGTGTCCACGCGCGCCCCGTTCTCGCCGACGCGTCGACGCACCCGTGATCGTGCCGTGCGCCGTCGTGCCGTTCTTCAGTTCGATCGTCACGCTTTCGTTGGAGAGTTTCTGTAAGAATCGCACGAGCTTCATCCCGTCGATGTCCGACGTCGCGTCGACCGTCTCCGGGCGCGCGCGTGCGAGTCGCGCGAAGACGGACGCGGGAAGACGGGCGCGGGCGATCGCGCGTGCGCGCGCGCGCGTCTGTCGGGGGCGCGAGAGAACACGCGCGACGATCGCGGGCGGGGCGTGGGGTCGAACACCCGCGTGTGCGGGACGGGACGCACGCATTGATTTCCAAACGCGCGTCCGACGGCGACGTCATGGCGCGCGCGATCGTGGGCGCGCGCGGGCGTCTCGTCGACGTGCGGCGGACGCGATGGCGGGGGAAGGGGGGGCGGTGGATCGCGCGACGGGCGACCGATGCCGATGATGATGATGATGATGATGATGATGATGATGATGTTGACGACGACGACGACGACGGGCGAGCGGTGCGTCGACGGGGCGCGAACGCGGCGGTCGAGGACGATGTCGAACAAATGCGCGCGCTTCGGGGGACGTACGGGACGACGTGGGCGCTCGCGAGCGCGGTGGTGCTCGTGGAGGCGTCAAAGTGGGCGCGCGGCGGCGACGCGGGCGGCGGCGGGACGGCGGCGGCGCTCGTGGGAATGGTCGTCGCCGCGCGGGCGTGGGATGCGATGGGAAGGGTGGCGCGGGGGGAGGTGATGGCGGTGCGAGGGACGTGTCCGAATCCGCGGTGTCGAGAGAGGGTGTTTGCGTTTTTGAAGACGCGCGGCGGGACGTCGAAGACGCGCGCCGAGTGTCACTGTTGCGCGAGGAAAATCGTGTTCGACGCGACGTTCGAGCGCGAGGCGACGGTGGGGGCGCCGTGGGGTGGGATGACGTGCGCGCCGGGGGGGCGGGTGTATTTGCTGCGCGAAGAGGATGACGTTGAGTGAGCGAGGCGACGCGTACGTCAATCCGCGCCCGCCGCGCGCGCGTATTGAACTTTGTAATGAACGACATCGAGCGGCCGCGAGCGAGACGCGAATGATTCGTCGAGGTGCATGAATTATTTTACTGCATCACGTCTACGCGAGTCTGTGGAAGATGATGATGAGAATGGCCACGGTCAAGACGCCGGCGACGCCGTAAAAGTACACCTTGTTCGCCGTCGCGCGTCGACTCATGCTACTGAGAATCTTCCTCGACCGCGCGATGGTGTCGTCGGCGCCGTGCAGCGCCTCACGGCTTCGTTGAATTGTTTCGCGTTGTCCCTGTAAATCTTGCAGGATGCTCACGCCCAAATCCTCCGTCTCCGCGAGCGAGCGCTGACTCTCCCGAATCCGCTCCCCCGTCCGCGCCAGGCGCTCCGTCGTCTCCATCTCCCGTTCCCCGTTCGCCGTCCCGTCCTCCATCGAGCCCACTCCTCCGAGCCCACGTTCGGCCGCCCCCAACAGCGCATCCCTGGCGTCTTCCGCTCCCTCGCCCGCGCTCGCCTCTCGCGCCTCGCGCTTTCGCGTCGCCAGCTCGCTCTTATAATCCCGCAGCTTGCTCAACATCGTCGTCTTCGCGCTCGCGTCACCGACCGATCGCGCCTCGAGATCCATGCGACGAATCAACGCCTCGCACTCCGCGACGGCGCTCTCGATCTCGCTCGCGCGCGCGCGGCGCTCGCTCGGCGTCGTCGCGTCGCGCGCGCCGTCCACGCCTCGACGAATCGCCGATGAAAACGCACAAAACTCCCGCTCGTGGCTCTCAAAGATGACGGACATCGCGCGCGCGGTCGTCGCCGTCCCGAACGCGGGCGACGCGCGCGCGCGGCGTCGGCGTCGCGCCCTCGCGCGCGTGGGACGATGCGATGGGATCTCGGGCGTGGAGTCCCTCGTGTGACGAGTCATGACTGGTCGAACGGCATCATTCGACGACGCGCGCGCTGGGCCCGTCGACGCGCGCGCGCGCATGCGCGCCCTCTTCTCGAGCGACGCGCGCGCGGGCGAGCGACGGGGCTCGCGCGCGGGCGCGCCGAACGCGGGATGGGTGCGGGATTTCGACGATGATTCCGACGCGACGGCGACGATGGTGAAAACGCGATCGATGCGTTCGACGCCCGAGGGAACGCGCGCGCATCCGCTCGCCCGGGAGTGGAGCTCGACGATGCACCCGTCGGTCGTCCGCGAGGCGTTTCTCGCGGAGTCGATCGACGCGTACACGACGCGGGTGCGGACGCGGGTGACGACGGGGACGTGGAACACGAACGGAAAGGCGCCGAGGGGCGACGAGGACGTTCGCGGGTGGTTGATGGGCGCGCGAGGGGAAGAGGGGACGCCGGACGTGGTCGTCGTTGGATTCCAGGAGATCGTGCCGCTGCACGTGGATAAGGTGCTGGCGGGGAAGGACGCGGCGGCGACGGAGGCGTGGGAGGAGGTGTTGGACCGGGCGCTGAACGGAGACGCGGCGAGGCAGGGGGCGACGAAGCGCAGAGGAACGATGGTGGATTACGATGCGTCGTACGGGAATGACGCGGGGAGGGGGGGGGGGGCGTCGACGTCGGGAACGACGTCGTGGGTGTCTTTCGACGACGCCGACGTTTCGAGGCGCGCGAAATCAAAAGCCGAGCCGACGTACAGACCTGTGGCGCAGAAACAGCTCGTGGGCGTGTATATCACGGTGTGGGTGAAAACATCACTTTTGCCGCATCTCAAAGACGTGCGCGTGGCGTCCGTGGCGACGGGATTCAACATTGGCGTCGGCGTGCTCGGAAACAAAGGCGCGTGTGCGGTTTGGATGAAGCTATACAGCACGCCTCTGGTATTCGTGTGCTCGCACCTGAGCGCTGGGACCAAACCGGGTGATGAACACAGACGAAACGAAGATTTTGCGACGATCGTGGATCAGTTGAGATTCCACCCTCCCGACGGCTTGGACGGCGTCGAGCATACGATTGAGGACGCGGCGAGCGCCATTTGGATGGGAGATTTGAATTATCGATTGAATGCGACCGATAAATTCGTTCGAGACTGCATTACCAAGGGTACGTTCTCACAGCTCCTAGCGTGCGACCAGCTGAACATCGAGCGTGCTGGTGGGAGAGTGTTTCAAGGTTGGCACGAAAGCGAGCTCACATTCGCGCCGACGTACAAGTACAGACCAGGGACAAATATTTACAGCGGCGCCGAGGACGCAGACGCTGACGTAGTCGACGCGGGGCAGAAGAAGGAAGAAGAGAAGAAACGGACGCCGGCTTGGTGCGATCGAGTTTTGTGGAACGGCGATTTTGACATCAATTTATTGGAGTACGGTCGCTCTGAATTGACGCACTCGGACCATAAACCGGTACACGCCGTGTTTTCGATCGTGGTTCGCGAGCTCGATCCACAAAAATTGAATGCGCTCATGTTTGACCTCCGCCGTCGACTCGACCACGTCGAGATGGCTGCTCAACCGAAATGTGCGATTGTCAATCCGAGCGTTGATTTGGGTGAGATGTTTTATTCGCGTGACGCGCTTGGCGAGTTCACCATGTCGAATGTCGGAGACGTTCCGGCGAAATTTAGTCTCGTTTCCCCCATACCGGGCGGCCCGGCGACGCCTGGGTGGATTACTGTCAATCCGATGGCGGGAAGCCTGCTGCCGGGCGAAGAAATCGTACTCAAGGTTCGCGCGTGCGTGCAAGGCGGGCGCGAATCAGGGCCGAGCGCGTTCAGTCACGATTCTTTGTCAAGAAGAAGCGAAGAGCCGCTCATCGAGATTGGTGCCAAGCCGAAGCTCGTCGAAGCCGTACTCGTGGTACGATTGGAGGGTGGAAGAGATTTCTTTGTCATGGTTAAAGGCCAGTACATCCCTTGCGTGTTTGGAACGCCGCTGGAAGATCTGCCAACGACAATGTTCCCACCAAACTGTCCGCAGGTGATCAGCACACTGGTCGACTACGTGTTTGAGAACATTAGTACGGCTCCAGGGATTTTCTTCGAACCGTTAGATGGGTTGCGTACACCCGGGGGCGTCGCAAAGATTGCCGAAACACTCCAGCACGGGGAAACGGATATTGATTTTGGAGCGCTCGGTGTTAACGTCTATGACGTCGGTGAAGCGCTTGTTTCTTTATTGTCAGCGCTTCCGCGTCGAATTCTTGATGAGCCAGGAGTATTAGACGCAGTAGACGCCATGAAGTTAGACGATCCGCAGCCAAAGGAGTTCGCGCACGGACTCCTGGGCCGTCACCTTTCCACCAAGGCCAAGGCAGCTCTCGTGCACATCGCGGCGCTCATCAAACGTCTCGACGAGGAATGTGCGAAGACTGGAGCGCGTGTCCACGTCACGGAGATGATCCTCACATTTGCGACGTGTTTATTCCCGGAATCCACCGAGCAGCCAAATCCCAGACGCGTCGCCTTCATCGGCGCGCTCGCCGGCTGTCATCCAAGCTTCCTCCGGACCCTCCGCGCGCGCGAGGTCGCGCCTCCACCGAGCGAACCATCCTTCCTTCCCGGTTGGTTTAACTTCTCTGTCTCTCCGGAGCCTCAGGAGTCGACCGGTAACGCCTCGGGAAATCTCATAGACTTTTAGTACTCTAGGTTGTCAGTTGTATCGCAGTACGTCAGCGTGGTTGAATCGCCGCGGGCGCCCACACTCCTCCGCGCGCGCGTCGTCGCCGAGAGGCACCGCGCGCGAGAAGGTGCGCGAACACCTCTCGACCGTCACCGCATCACCACTCCTGAATCGCCCGAGTCATGAGCTCGCTCGGGAAGCTCCAACAGCTCGCGCTGGTGAACAAGGTCACCAAGGAGCTCGAAAACCACCTCGGGATCGCCGATAAAACCTTGAGCGAGTTCGTGATCGCGCTCGCCGATGAGAACGGTACCCCGGGTGCGTTCCGCGACGCCCTGGGCTCGGTCGGCGCGGAGGTAGACGACGCGTTCGCGGAATCCCTGTTGAGTTTGATTCAACGCGGGCTGAAGCGAGGCGGCTCGACGACTGGCGGGACAAAGGTCGGTGGGACTTCGACGCGAGATGGCAGCGAGAACGCGAGCGGTGCGTCGACAAAAGACGCGGTGTGGTCAGGTTTGGCGGTGCGAGACAACGACGAGCGAGCGAGGGCGATGACGAGGGAGCTGTACGGGGACCGGGACGTCAAGGCGAACGCGGCTGACGACCCGAGACTGTGCGAGCGGGTGAACGATCGCGAGACGTCGCACTCGCGAGAGGTCGAGAATAGCACTGGAGAAGAGCGGATGCGGGATGGTGAGCCGAGCGTGGGTGAGGTGTGTCGCGGACGGGTGACGAACGTTTTAGATTTTGGCGCGTTCGTGGAGCTCGTCGAATTCAAGAGAAAGTTCGAGGGTCTTGTGCACGTGAGCGCGATCGCCGATCGGCATCTTAAGAGCGCCAAAGACGGTGCGAGTCGCGGGGATAGGGTGTTCGTGAAAGTCTTGAGCCGAAACGGTCAGAAGATGTCGCTGAGCATGAAGGAGGTCGATCAAATAACGGGGAAGGAGACGACGACCTCTAGAGGAGCGTTCGGGGGGAATCGAAGCAATCCCGCGCCGAGGAGTAACTTGCCGCCGCCTGGGCCGTCAGGTGACATTTCTTTGAAAGGTCTATCTGGTATCAATCCCAGGGCGTTGGAGGACGGAAGCATGAGCTCGCGAAAGCGGCCAGTGAAGCGACTGAGCTCGCCAGAGTTGTGGGAGGCTCGGCAACTAATCGCGAGCGGCGTACTCAAGGTGCAGGATTATCCACAATTCGATCCGGAGAACGAGGGTATGCTATCCTACGAAGAAGAGGCTGAGGAAGAAGTCGAGATCGAGATGAACGAGGAAGAGGCGCCGTTCTTGCAGGGACAGACCGCGGCGAGCACTGGAGATGTATCACCAATCAAAATTGTGAAGAATCCAGACGGTTCTATGCAGCGCGCCGCGATGACACAGGCGACGCTGGCGAAGGAACGCCGTGAGTTGCGAGAACAGCAGCGAGCCGAGTTGGAGACCGATGGACAACTATCAAATCGCCCTTGGGAAGATCCGATGGGGAGGACAGGAGATGCGCTCCTGGTGGATGACTCGCGGCAATACGGCGGGCGTCCAGGGCGAGATATGCCTGCCTGGAAAGCGAAAGCTCTTGGACGAGGCGGTGAACGTATGGGTAAGCCACAAACAATGCCGATTCACGAGCTACGAAAGACACTTCCTATTTATCAGTTGCGAGATCAACTGATTCAGGCGGTGAATGATAATCAAATTTTGGTTGTCATCGGTGAAACGGGGTCGGGTAAGACGACGCAAATGACGCAGTATCTAGCGGAAGCCGGTTACACATCTCGTGGTCGAATAGGCTGTACGCAGCCGAGGCGCGTCGCCGCGATGTCAGTGGCGAAACGCGTAGCAGAGGAAGTTGGTTGTAGACTCGGCGAGGAAGTTGGTTACGCCATTCGTTTTGAAGACTGCACGTCTCAGGACACGGTGATCAAATATATGACAGACGGCATGTTGCTTCGTGAGGCGTTGTTAGACGATTCGTTGTCGCAGTACTGTGTGATCATGTTGGACGAGGCGCACGAACGAACAATTCACACGGATGTACTTTTTGGACTGTTGAAGAAATGTTGCGCCAAGAGAAAAGATTTGAAAATCATCGTCACCTCGGCAACGTTGGACGCTGAAAAGTTTTCGACGTACTTCTTTGACTGTCCAATTTTCACCATTCCGGGTAGAACGTTCCCGGTAGAGGTATTGTACACTAAGGCGCCAGAGAGCGACTACCTGGACGCCGCGCTCATCACCGTTATGCAGATTCATCTCACAGAACCCGAGGGGGACATTTTACTCTTCTTGACCGGTCAAGAAGAAATTGATTCTGCTGCTGAGATTTTATTTGATCGCATGCGAGCTTTAGGTCCGTCGGTACCAGAGTTGCACGTTCTACCGGTGTACTCTGCGCTCCCAAGTGAGCAGCAGACTCGAATTTTTGAGCCGGCACCTCCGGGAAGTCGCAAGTGCGTCATTGCGACGAACATCGCGGAAGCTTCACTCACCATCGACGGTATTTTCTACGTTGTTGATCCTGGTTTCTCCAAGCAAAAGGTGTATAACCCGAAAATTTCCATGGATTCCCTCATCGTGGCGCCGATTTCTCAAGCATCGGCACGACAGCGAGCCGGTCGCGCAGGTCGTACCGGTCCGGGTAAGTGCTACAGGTTATACACAGAAAGTGCGTTCAAAAACGAAATGCTCCCGACGTCAGTTCCGGAGATTCAGCGAACGAACTTGGCCATGACTGTCCTGACGATGAAAGCCATGGGGATCAATGACTTAATCAACTTCGATTTCATGGACGCGCCGCCGCCGGCAACTCTCGTCACGGCTTTGGAACAACTCTACAATCTCGGGGCTCTAGACGAGGAAGGTTTACTCACTAGACTCGGTCGAAAGATGGCGGAGTTCCCGCTTGAGCCTCAGATGAGTAAGATGCTCATCGCGAGCGTCGATATCGGATGCTCGGATGAGATCTTAACCATTGTGGCCATGCTGAGCGCTCAGAATATCTTCCATCGTCCGAAAGAGAAGCAAGCGCAGGCAGACGCTAGGAAGAATAAATTTTTCCAGGCCGAGGGCGATCACCTCACACTTTTGTCTGTGTACGAGGCCTGGAAGTCTCAGGGGTTCAGCGAACCGTGGTGCTATGAAAACTTTTTGCAAGCGCGCTCGATGAAACGCGCGCAAGACGTGCGCAAACAGCTCCTCACCATCATGGATCGCTACAAACTCGGCACGCAGAGCGCCGGACGCAACTACAACAAAGTTCGTAAGGCCATCTGTTCTGGATTCTTCTTCCACGCCGCCAAGAAGGACCCACAGGAAGGATACAAAACCGTCGTGGAACAAACACCCACGTACATCCATCCCTCGAGCTCGCTCTTTCAGAGACAGCCGGACTGGGTTATCTACCACGAGCTCGTCCTCACGACCAAGGAGTACATGCGTGAAGTGTGCGCGATCGACCCCAAGTGGCTCATCGAGCTCGCCCCGCGCTTCTTTAAGCAAAGTGACCCTCGTCACCTGAGCAAGCGCAAAAAGGCGGAAAAAATTGAACCGCTCTATGATAGATGGAACGACCCAAACGCGTGGAGACTGTCGAAAAGAAGGGGCTGATCGGCGTCTTCCCACCACTCGAATCGAAACGAAGCAGAACCGGCGCTTGTCATCGCACGAAACCACGCGCTCACGTCCGCTCGATGCCATCGCTCGTCCGCGCGCGTCGCTCCGTCCGAGCTCTTCGCGCCCCGGGCCTAAACCCACACCCCTCTGTGTCAATAAATTAATCTTTCGCGGATCCCTCGTCGGCGCAGAGCGGTCGCGGCGCGCGCGTCATCGTCGCACGCGCGGACGACACGCCGTCGCGCGCGCGACGCTTTCACGCGCGCGCGACGCTTTCACGCCCGCCCGAGCGACGCGTCGCGCGCGTGAGACGCCGATCGTTCGCATTCGATCGATCGAATTGAAATTCACGCACTCGACGCGCGAATCTTCGTGAGCGCGCGCGATGTCGTCGGATGCGTCGTACTTCGCTAGTGGCGATGAGCTCAAGTCGATGACACAGTCGCGCGACCGGAAGATGACGCCGTGGGGCTCCGGGGCGTGGATCACGACGACGCTGGTTGACGAGAACGGGACGAAATGCCCGTGCCCAGTAGGGTGCGCCGGAGATTGCGCCGTGCGCTCCTCGTGGCTGTTCGATGAGGTGGTGGGGAAACCTCGAACGATTCGTCCCCTGGAAGGGACGTCGAATCCGCCGGTGGCGAGGCTGACGGACGACACGTTGAGTCCTTGGGGGACGGTGGCGCAGTTTAACGTGTCAAAGTACAAGCAGTTCGATAAATGTCCGCCTCTGGAATCGTTAGAGTGCATCAGCTGCGATAGTTCCACTGGTTACTATCCGATGGCGTTTGCCGGGGACTACTCCATCGAGGGCATCAAGCGCACGGGAACGGGGATCTCTTGTTACTATCTGGAGGTGTGCGAACGCGGCGCTTCGTGCGATACGAAGACCACAATCAACGATTTGATGGCCACCACGGGCGTTTATGCCAGCATTTTCCTCTTACTCGTATGCTTGTTCACCGGTCTGCGCAAGATTAAGTGGTTGCGCATGGCAATTGATTCGGCAGCGTGGCTCGAAAAGGGCAATCCAAAGTTCCCTCCGAGAGAGATCCCTCTCCCAAAGCCACGCGATGACAGTGCTTGGTCTTGGCTTTGGGACGCTTGGTATCGTGATAACGAGTGGATGAAGGAGTTTACGACTCCAGACGAATATATGTTGGTCCGTTGGTTCAAACTCAGCAGCAGATTCTTCTTTGCGTCCGGTGTCCTGTGCTGTCCGCTCCTCATACCGCTGTACGTCTCGGACACGGTTCCATCTACGGACACGGGCGGTCGGGTCGTGGCTTCGCTTGAGCGCTCAGGGATCGCCGAATACACCTTACTGAATGCACGCGGCGGTCATTCATTTGCAGCAGCGGTCGCTTCGTGCTGGATCATCAGTCTTTTCTTGATGACAATGATTCGCGTTGAGTCAAGAAAGTACATCGCAATGATGTGGTCGGTGAATCCCAACAAGACGGGCATAAAAGCGAACGCCATCGTGGTGAAGGATATGCCGTTGTATACCACGGCACCTGTTCCTAACCGGTTGGCCAAGCTCGGCGCGGTGAACCTCGCCGCTGGGCTTCGACCAGGCAAATCGTTAAGACTAAGTAGTCGCATGGTAAATATCGACGATGAAGACGTTGGTTGCCTCGGAAAGACGAAACTCTTCCTTACGGAAGGTACGGTTCAAACATTCACCGAAGGTAACCGTGTGCTTCGCGCTCTCTACAAAGAGGAGTCTATGGCTCTTCTCATCAACAAATTTGAAAGAGTTCTCGGTAAAGACTGCATCGCCTTCAAGATGCTCGCGTCGGACACACGCCAACTCGACAAGGCAGCGAATGCGTGGGCAAACGCGCGCGAGGCGCACACGATGTGCATGCAGGCGATAGACGATCTTTCAGAAATCGAAAAAAAAGCAGACGTGCGCCTGAAGAAATCGCAATCAAAGCAACTTTCCAAAGCGTTACAGGAGGTTGATGAACTGAAGCGAGCGGAGCAGCATGCGTTCGATACGTTCATTAAGATTCGCGACGATTACATCAATAATCAAGCGCCAGCCAGCAGTGCAATCGTGGTTTTCGCTCGACAAATGGACGCTGTCATCGCGTCGCAAATTCAAGTCGATTCAGTTCCCGGCCAGTGGGCGACAGAGCCGGCCCCAGGGAACTCAGACGTGGTTTGGCACAATCTCTCCTTGACCACAGTGGAGCGAGCCAGGAAGACCACTCAAGCGTGGCTTATCGCTTTGAGTATCTCCGTGTTCTTCATGTACCCGGTGAACGCTGCAGTGTCCGCGATCACCCAAGAGAAAACCGCCCTTGTTGATTTCATGGGAGAACAACTTTACAACGTTATCTTATCCATCGTCCTCACCATTTTCCTCGTCATCGGTCACATTCTGAGTCTGGTCGTGAGTCGACAAACCGGCTTCGTTGCGATCAGCTCGATGGACTCCTTCGGAGCCTCTATGTACTTCTGGCTGTTGATTCTGAACTTGGTGCTTGGTAACTTGAGCGATACGCCGCTTTGGGAGAGCATCGGGCAGTGGATCTCAAAGCCTCACCTGTTCACGTATCAGTTTATTCTGAGACTGATGAACACGAGCACCTTCTTCCTTCAATTCCTCTTGCTTCGCTGCGCTACGTCACCTGTGCTGGAGTTGATTCACCCGCCTGTTTTGCTTGGATTCGTCACTAAGTGCTTGATGTACCGCAGTCGAGCGCGCACGTGGCCAGCGTTCAAGAAGAGACTGATCTGGGCTCAGCCAACGCCGACACCGAGTCACCGCGTTCCCGCGCAGTGCATGCTCGTCTTCTTCATCGGCATGATTTATGCCGTCGTCTCGCCGTTACTTCTTCCCGTATGCGGCTTGTTCTTTTTCTTCTTCTACGTCTTCTGGAAGCACAACATTGTCTATCACTACATTCAGCAATACTCTGCGGGAACATCCATGTGGGCGTGGCTCGTCGGTAAGATGTATTTCAGTCTGATGTTCAGTCAGATCATGATCGCCTTCGGTCTTCCTACCCTCGGATATGACACCATGAAGTATCGAGCGGCTATATTGCCGATCATCGCCCTCACCGCGATCGAGTGGGCGAGGATAAACATTATTCTGAAGTCGGCTTTGAAGGTTCCGGTGTACACGTCGGCAGCGATCAAGGAGGACGTTCATGATGCAGACTCGGAATTTTTCGGTGACACCAACGGAAGTGCGTCGCCGCGTCCGTCCGTCACGCCGACGAAGGATGCGCAAGGAGAGGTGTTCAACTTGGACGACAGACAAGTCGTCGTGACGATGACGAGTATCAAGCAAGACAAGCGTAAGAAGAAGCATGTCCGTGGCGTCGTTCCCGTGGACGAGATGAAATGGAGTGAACATAAACACGTGAATGTTTTGGCTAACACGCGGGAGCAAGGCAGGGAGGAGATTGAGTACAAGGTGAAGGCGGGTTTGTGGCAAACGTACGCCCCGAGCGTGCTCTGGCCGCTCGCCGCGGAGAAATCCGCCGGCTCCATTTTCTTGCGACGTTGGAAGATGATCAAGGCTCGTAAGGAGGCGGAACAAGACATTCTCGACACGGTGGCGCACTTACCGGACAACGATCCGAAGAAGATGGAGGTCATCCGCGGGATCGCGTTGAAGAAGCAAGCGCGTGAAAAGGCCGCGGATCAGTTGCTCCGCAAGTCCAAGTCGCCGTACCTCACCAAGCTCAGGCAGCAGCGCGCCGCCGAGCAAGCAGCGAACGCGCAAACAAAACCGGAACCATAGTTCCTGGCGTCGGGCCATCCGTCCCTGGTGTTGAATAAACAACGCGCAGCGCCACGTAATACCAGTCATAACGCTTCCTTCCAAAAATGGCCCGCGGACGCGCGCGCATCGAACCACCTCCGCGCACCCGCGCGTCGTCACGTCTCGCACGGAAACCACCTCGCCTCGTTCGCGTCCAACCACGCGTCGAACGCCGCGTTCATCGCCGCCTCCGCCCGCGCCACCTCGACGACGCCCGCCGCGCCGTACGCCTCCGTCCGCCCGCGCGCGTCCGTTCGCCCCCTCCCCGCCGCCCCCTCCCGCTCGACCCACTCGCGCGTCCGCGCGCGTCCGCCCACCGCGCGCGCGCGTCCGTCGTCCGCGCCCGCCCGTCGCGCCGCCCGTCGTCGCGCCGTCGCCGCGAACATCGCCGCCCATCGCGCGTCGAGCTCCAGCGTCACCGCCGCCGCGTCCACGTCCGCGTCCGCGCGCGCGCGCCTCGGACGCGGCGGCGGCGGCGCGGTGAGATCGAACGCGCGCGACATCCGCGGGCGTCGCGACGTCGCGCGCGCGGCGATGGCGTGGGGGACGACGCGATGATGCGCACGCGTGCGTCATGAGTCATGACTCGTGAAGGAGTCCCTCGGTGTCGCCACCGACGCCTCGGCATCACACGACGACGCGCCGACGCGCGCGCGACGTCGCCGCGGACGATGGCGCTCGCGCGAGGGATGGAGATGAAAATCTCCCGTCGATGCCCGCGCGTGGACGCGCGCGCGAGCGGGCGCGCGCGCGCGCGGGCGACGATGACGATTCGAACCTCGACGGGGGGACGAAGCGCCTCGAGGTGGGAATCGAAACGTCTCGCGGTCGTCGCGAACGCGAACGGACGCGGACGCGGACGACCGAGCGCGGATGCGGAGGGATGGGGCGTGACGAACGATGGACGATTGGAGCGATCGCGATCGAGGACGTACGGTGAGGTGGAGGCGGATGGCGCGCGAGACGCGGATGAGACGCGGGCGACGGAACGGGCGGAGCGACGAGCGATGCGAACGCGGTCGATGGAGCGTCGAGACGAGGCGATGATGACGGCGATGTCGGGAGTGTTTGCGACCGCATGTGGGGTCCTTCGGTTCGGATTGCCGGCGACCGGGGGGCTGGCGTGCTGGGCGGCGGCGGCGGCGAATTCGGGCGAGGGACTGCTCGGCGCCCTCGGCGGGGCGTTGCTCGTGGGCACCACGCTCGGGGTGTGCGCGATGATCTTCGCCGTGATGAGCGCGACGTTCAGTGGGGTAGCCATGGCGTGGATCATGGTGCGACGGTGGTTGAAGGCGGCGCCGGGGATGCGACGAAGCGCGTCGCGAGGCAGTCGTTCCCCTCCAGCCGGGCGACCGAGTCGGGACTACGACGGCGGTAATGGTGACGGGCGCCGAGGCCCGAATCCGGGACTAGACAAGAGCAGGAGCTTCAGCTACGGTGACTGGGATCCCATCGTCCCCGTGGTGGATCCGCGCGCGCCGGAGAGATTGGGGAGCGTCCGCGGCGAACAAGGCGCGCGCGATCCCAGGCAGTGGGGGACGCACAAGAGGCCGGCGGACTTCAGACGCGAGAATCGCGATCTCGAGCGCCGAAGCTCGATACGTCAGGACGAAGACGACGATTCGCTCGGATCGAGCCAATGGAGATCTCGTGCGGCGTACAGACAGGCGGAGGGATTCAGCGACGCTTCGCTCGTGGGCACAGCGGCGGCGCAAGCGGAGACCGCCGTCTGGTCGAATCCGCACGAAGAGGTGATAAAGAAGTTCACGCCCAAGGAGCGATTGTTACCTCCGACGCCTCCCAAGCCCAAACACGCGCACATTCCGACGGAAACGCTCATCGCCATGGGCGGCGCCTCACTGCAGTCGCACATCGGGCACAACGGCAAGGATATTTTGAGCAACGCTCGAAAGAATCGAGCGTCGAACGTCACTCGCACAGGCTCCGCGAGCGACACTGTGGTCAAGGGCATGTTCGGCTTCGACGTCTCTGTTCCAGAGATCCCCGATCAACAGCAACAGTCGTTCGCGAACGATGGCGACGACCAAGCGGCAGCCATCGCGCGAGCGCGGTTCGAACACAACTTGTCCTCATCCTTCGAGCGACCGAGGAGAGATTTCGAAGCCGAATTTCTCAACGTCGTCATGCAACGAGACGAGATCGATGAAGACGAAGATGACACCATGCGCAGTCTTCGCGGCACGCGGTGAGCTTCCGGAACGTCGTGTACGATTATCAACACCATCACCGCCCGCGACCGGTCGGGACAGTCACTATGTAAACGAACAGGAACGTACCACTGATTTGATGTACGTCCATCCTCGAGCGCGCGCGCGACGCCGTCGACCGACGTCTCTCATCTTCGCTTTGCGCGGCTGGCTCGCGCGCGCCGCCCGACCGCACTCACGGACGCCCTCGACGCGCGCGGTCGTCATGCAAACCCCACGATCCGACGGTCGCGCCTCCGACGAACACCTCCGCGCCCTCTCCGTCGCCTTGGACACCAACTCCCGAGCGAGCGGGTCGAGTTACGTCGAGCTCGGAAACACAAAAGTCTCCTGCGCCGTCTACGGCCCGCGTCGACCGCGCGTGGACGATCTCACCGTGAACACGGGCGTGATCGACGTCGACGTGTTCAGAGTCCCGTTCGCGAGGAAGCGCGCGATTCACGTCGAGCGCGGACGGGAGAACGAGAGAGAAAAGGATCTCAATCGATCGGCGGCGGATGTCGAACTGTCGGCGCGAATCGCGGACGTTCTGCGCGCGTGTGCGCTCACGGAAACGTTTCCGAGAGCGCAAGTGGACGTGTACGTGACGATCATGGATTCCGACGGAGGGGAGGTCGTGGCGAGTGTGCTCGCGGCGAGCGCGGCGCTCGCGCGCGCGGGGGTGGAGATGGCGGATTTGGCGAGCGCGTGCGAGTTAGTGAGAATCGGCGAGCGATTAGTGCTCGATCCGACGGAGGAGGAGTGCGAACGGGGCAATGGGAAGGTGTTTCTAGCGCAAATGTCGAGCGAGGAGGGGATGGTGCAGGGTGAGACGTTCGGCAGGTGGACTGCGGATGAGAGTCGCCGGGCGCTTGAGCAATGCGCGGCGGGTTGTAACCGGTTTGATACCATCGTCAGGGAAGCGTTAGCGAAGAGTTAGGGTCGGTGTCTGTTGTATTTTGAGTGAATGCATCACGTTTCGTATGGTTACAAGAAAGAATCAATCGTTTTTAGAGGGCGCGCGGATCAAGAGAGAGCGAGCGAACGCTCTCAAGAGTGGCTTGTACTTCGGGCGAACCTTCAGGAGTGAAGAACTCATCTTTGACGACGACCGGCTCGGCCTTCGTGTACTTTGCGTCGTACTCCGCTTCGAGTACGCGCTTTTCCGCCAGTTTAGTCTCTATTGCTTTGCGAACGCTCTCGCCTTTGTCTGGAATCTTGTCGACGACATCCGGCATAGAAAGAATGACGCGCTGCTTTTCGACGTCAGACGCGATGAGATCAATTTTCGCTCTCAGTTTCGCCTCGCCCGAGACGTGTTCCGGTGATTTTTCATCCACGTCGATGTTCTTCACCTTCGCTGCCGAGGAAGGTCCCTTCGAAGGCGTCAGTGCGCGGAGAAAGGCGCCACCGAGTAATCCGCCGTCACCCCCCCAGGCACTGTTCACATCCTTCCACGCGGCGCCTCCGGGCGCTTTGCCCTTGGGCGTCGTCGTCACGCCGCCGGTGGATTGCTTCGGCGCGGCTTGCGACGGCGCCACCGCTTCATCTTCTTTACTGAAGAGCAAGTCGTGGTCGCTCACACCGCACACGCACGGCAGAGACTCAACGTACGGGATTTCTCGTCTCAATTCGTTGGTCCATTTCCTATCAATGGCGTGGAGCATGTTGAGTTGCTTCATCGTTTCGCTCGAGCTCGCCGCGTGTTCGGTTATCTCAAACATTTGACTCGCGTCATCCGCGTCAAAGTATTGCCTCCCACTCACACCGTCGGTGCACGCTTTCGACAGACTACCCTTGAAGACTTGTCGGCGATAGACTTTCTCCTCAATCGTGCCGCACGTCACCATGCGATACACCACGACATCCTTCGTTTGTCCGATGCGATACGCGCGATCCACCGATTGATTATCCGTGGTTGGATTCCAAGCGGGATCAAAGATGATCACGCGTGTAGCCTCCGTAAGTGTCAAGCCCAAGCCTCCGACGCGAGCTGTCAAGAGCATGACTGGGATGTCGTCTTGAGAACGAAACTTGGTCACGCGTCGATCTCTCTCGTCAACGTTAACTTTGCCATCGATGCGAACGAAATCGATGTTTGCCTCGCGAATGTTTGCCTCGATGATGTCAAGTGTCGCTTGAGATTGAGAGAAGACCAGCGTTCGATGTCCCTCGATGCGAAAGCGCTCGAGCATGGACATGAGAAACTTTGACTTGGCTGACAAACTCGGCGACCCTCGCGAGAGGGCGTCGGAGTCAAAATTACACTCCCGAACGGCCGCGGCAAGCGGCCGCGGCGGCCTCTCCCGAGCAGCTCTTTCTCAATTCAACGTCTTCTTCGACGGCGTGGTCCACAGGTCCTTCCGTGGTGACTGCGTCCGAGTCGTCTTCTGCTTGCGCTCCAACGCACAGCGAAGGGTGATCACATATCTTCTTCAATGTGTTCATGCAAGCTATGGCCGAGCCCGTCTTGTTGATAGCGTCTTGAATCGGTCTCGACGCTAAAAATTTCGTGTAAAGTGCCCGTTGCGCGGGATCCAGGGGTATCCATGCGATAAAATCGTTCTTCTGTCCGAGCGCTGAAGGCACGTTTTTGACGTTCTTCCAACTCGTCATGGATGAGGACGACGCCTTGGACAAATCCTCAGTCACCTCCTCCTTGGCGTCATCCTTGGCCAGAATCTCACTCTTTTCACGCCGAAGAAAGTACGGACGTGTCAGTTGACGAAGCGTCATAGTAAGTTCCTTTGACTCAGCACGTTGCTTTTGTGTCGCGGACGCGGCTTGCCCGGCGGTGATTTTGTTCGCAAATTGTCGTCTGAAGTCATTCTCCCCGCCAAGTAAACCCGGACACGTGAGATCATACAGGGACCAAAGCTCGCTTAAAACGTTCTGCACGGGCGTGCCGGTGACGATCATGCGCAGATTCGCAGGGATTTGTCGAACCTTTTGAGCGAGCTGCGTTGCTGGATTCTTCAGCGTGTGTCCTTCGTCCATGACGACCCAATCCCACCGAAAGGTTCCAGCGAAATCTCGAGGCACGCCCCCGCGACCTTCACGTCCCATCGCCTTCATGGCTTCGTCGTCATCGCTCGGCGCGCCGAGCTCGCTCGCTCGCGTCGTCACCATCCCGTACGAGGCCAAGAGTACGCCTCGACCAGAGACGCACGCGCGCAAATTTCGTTCGCGAGAACTCTGCGTGCCGCTGTAATACTTGAAAACCGTCTTGCCCTCCTTTAACCCGCACGTCTCGAACTCTTTCAACCAGTGCGGAAGAAGCGTAGTCGGGGCGAGAACGAGCACACGCTTCGCCGCGCCGCTGCGTAACAATCCGGTGACAAACGCGCACGCCTGCAGCGTCTTCCCCAGACCCATGTCATCCGCCAAGATCCCACCGCGTCCGGCGAGATGTAATCCCCACATCCATCGGATGCCATCGCGCTGATGGTCGTATAACCGCGTTGCGAGCTCGGCGTGAAGCTCGAATTTCGGCCCTTCCGCCTTGCCCTTTAATCGAAGCGGTCGAGCGCTCGATGCAGAACTCGCATCCATCCCGATGTCCCTAGGCACCGGCACGTTGGGCTCATCCACGTATGTCGGTGACATTTTCTTCGGCGACGTTAGCGAAACCGACGTTAGCGAAACCGACGCCCGTTCGCTCTCGCTCTCGCTCTCGCTCTCGAGCGTCGGGCGAAACGCGCTTCGTCCATCGCGTCGCCGCCGCGTCTCAACGTCATCTTCCTCGCTCTCGCTCGCCGCATCGCTCTCGCTCGACTCCACGAGCGTTCGCCGCTTTACCACCGTCGGTCTCCGTCGTCGCGTCCCGTTCGCGTCCCGCAGCGGGGACGGCGACGGCGAGTTCGAGCGCATCGTGTTTCGTTCCCCTCGCATCGTCGATTCGTCTTCTCGGATCGTTGTGATCTCGCCTCGACGACGACGTGGGATCGATTGATATGCCTCGAGCGACGCGCGCGAGGCACGTGACGCGCCGTACGATGGGGACGGCGCGCGCGAGGCCTACCGTCCGCGCGAGGTGGCGTGTGGAGGGGATGATGAGAAGCGACGCGCGCGACTCGGCTCGGCGGCGCCCACGGGAAGCTCAACCGAAAGAGACGCGAGATGAACGACGTGGTTCGAACGCTAATGTGCGCGTTACAATGGTTATCCTAAATGTAAAAACCTGCATAACCGGCATCGCTAGTGCGAGCCATGAGTGGTCGGTCGCACCACCCATCACGAATACGAACGCTCGTTCGCATCGTGTCTGATAAATTTTCGGACAGTCTCGACGTCCGTCTCGCGTCGCGCTCACGCCCCGTTCTCCACCCCTTCAATACGATCTTCCACCTCCATATAAAGCTGCTTCAATCGTTCGATGTTCTCCTCGCTCGTCTCCCAGTAACCACGGCCGTTCGCTTCCAAGAAGTTGGCGACCATCTTTCTGAACGAGTTCGGGTTGGACTCCATGAGACGCTTTTGCATCTCCGGATCGGCCATGAACGTGCTGTTCGCGTCCTCGTACACCCAGTTATCGACTTGACCAGACGTCGCGGACCAGCCGAGCGTGTTGTTGAGGCGCTTTTGGATCTCGCGAGTACCCTCGTAGCCAGACGCCATCATGCCCTCGTACCACTTGGGGTTCAAGAGCTTGGTGCGCGAGTCGAGGCGCATGGTCTCAGAAAGTGAACGAACTTGGGCATTCGCCGTCGTCGTGTCCGCAATGTAAGAAGACGGCATCTTGCCATCCTTGCGCACCCCTTGGACGAGCTTGGTCGGATCGGAGTCGAAGTAGTGGCTCACATCTGTGAGAGAGATCTCCGAAGAGTCCAAGTTTTGGAAGGTGACGTCAACCTTAGACAAGGCAGACTCAAAGAGTTCCTTCTTCGTTTCCATACCCGCACCCGGCGCATCGGAGTTGAACGCAAAGGACTTACGGTTGAGGTACATGTCTTGAAGCTGGCTCTCGTCGTTCCAGGAAGAGTTCTCAACGGCGAGGTTGACGTTGGAAGAGTACGAACCAGACGCATTGGAGAAGATGCGCGTCGCGGCTTCACGGACGGAAAGGCCGAGTTCAGCGGCTTGCTCCTTCGCGTGCTTGCGAACAAAGTTCATCTCATCCGGTTCATTCTCTTGCTCAGCGGCGAGCTTGACCGCACGATCCAACAAGTTCATTTGGTTGACGAACAAGTCGCGGAACACACCAGAGCAGTTGACGACGACGTCGATGCGCGGGCGGCCGAGCTCTTCCAAGGAAATGAGCTCGAGCTTGTTCACCCGACCGAGCGCATCCGGAGCCGGGCGCACGCCCACCATCAACATGACTTGCGCCAAGGACTCACCGTACGTCTTGATGTTATCCGTACCCCAAAGGACCAGCGCGATGGACTCCGGGTACTTGCCACCGTTTTCATTCTTCTCACGCTCGATCAGACGATCGACAACAACCTTGGCGGAGGCAACCGCCGCACCCGTCGGGATCGCTTGCGGGTCGAGAGCGTGAATGTTCTTACCGGTCGGCAACACCTTCGGGTTACGGATCGGGTCACCACCCGGGCCCGGAAGCACGTATTGTCCCTCGAGAGCCTCAGTGAGCGCGCCAAGCTCGTTATCCTTGACAACTTGCTCGAGGCAGAAGCGCAAGTAATCGAACAGAGTGCGCATCTTCTCGACATCCGTGCTCTCGAACTGGGTGCCCTTCAAGGCATCACCCCACGGAAGCGCAACAGCGGCGCTGCCGAAGAGTTTACCGACGCTGGCAAGAGCGCCCGCGGCAACGCGGCCAGAAGGATCTGCAGCGGAGCTGACAAAGGTGCGGACGCAAGCGCGGCAAGCCTCTGTGATGTCTTGCAAGAGCTGGACGTCTTCGAGGTTACCCGCATCGTTGGAGCGGTAGATGGACTCGATGTCTCTGCCGATGGACATGGCGAGGAGACCCGGGAGAGCGATGATACCTTCGTCTTCGCGGTCGATGGACGCAATGTTGACGAGCGTCGCGACAGCCTCTTCCGCAGACGGCGGGCAACCAACGACGTGGAGGCCGCACGGCAACAAGCGGGATTCGATCTCCATAAGCTTTTGGTAAACCTTACCGACGATCAAATCGCGTCTGTCGGAATCAAAGTCAGCGGCGTCAGCTTCTGGATCAGTCGGAATTTCCTTCACATCCTTGTCCAAGTTGCACGTGATCGCCGTGGAGATGATGGTGTTGACGATGGACGGACCACGACCGGAATCCTTCAAGGTTTGGTACGAAGAGATCAACTCCTTGAGCTCCTTCAAGCCCTTGTAGAGACCGGCGTTCTCAGCCGGCGGGGTCAAGTAGGAGATGGTGTTGGCGTACGATCGACGCTTCGCAATGGTGGCCTCGGACGGGTTGTTCGCCGCGTAGTAGTAGATGTTCGGGATGTTCCCAATCAAGCGATCCGGGTAGCACACACCGGCCATACCAACTTGCTTACCCGGCATGAACTCGAGCGAACCGTGCGTACCAAAGTGCAGTACGGCGTCGGCTTGGAAGATGTGCTCAAGGTAGGTGTAGTACGCCGCAAAACCGTGGTGTGGGGACGCAGACTTGGAGAACAACAGTCGCATCGGATCACCTTCGTAGCCGAACGTCGGCTGAACACCGATGAAGACGTTGCCAAACTGCTTACCGTAGACGAGCATGTTTTGGCCATCGGTGTTCAAGTTACCCGGCGGCGGACCCCAGTTCTCGTGCAAGTCCTCCTCATAAATGCAGAGCTTCTTGTACTCGTTCACCGGCATGCGGTAGGCGACGTTCATGTCCGGGGATGCGTATTGCGCTTCCTTGTCGTTGAGAACGGAGTTGATGAGCTCCTCTTCGCTGCTCGGGAGAACACCAACGTTGTAGCCTTGGCGGCGCAAGCCTTGAAGCACGCGGTAGATGGAGCCGAAGACGTTGAGGTACGCGGCGGTACCGACGTTCCCCTTGTCAGGCGGGAAAGAGAAGACGGTGATGGCGAGCTTCTTGGCCGCCGCGGTCTTCTTACGAAGTGCCGCCCACTTGATGGCGCGGTTGGCGATTTGCGCCGCGCGATCCTCCAGAGTGTGCGATTTGCCAGACTTGGAGTCGCGCCCGGAGAAGATCATCGGCTCGAGGCCGCCGTCGAGCTCCGGAAGCGCAACTTGAAGCGCGACTTGCACAGGGTGGAGACCGAGCGTGGAATCCTTCCATTCCTCGGTGGTTTGGAAAGACAACGGAACGGTAACCATGTACGGCACGTTGAGCTTCTTCAAGGACTCGATCGCCTTGGGGTGATCTTGACGGGCCGGACCGCCGACGAGGGCGAAACCGGTGAGAGACAAGACGGTGTCCACGTACGCACCCTTCGTGATCGGATCGAAGAAGAACTTTTCGATCGGGCCGGAGAAGTCGAGGCCACCGGCGAAGATCGGAACGACCCGCGCACCCTTAGCTTCGAGCTCCATGACCATGCCGTCGTAGTGACCGTGGTCGCCGGTGACTAAGTGAGAGCGCTGGAGAACGAGACCGATGACGGGAGAATCCGCCTTGAACTTGATGTCCTTACGGGTGTCGTACCAGTTGAGGTACTCTTTTAAGTCTTCGTAGTACACCGGCGCGGAAGGGTGCCAGATGCCGACATCCGGGAACACCTCCGGCTCGGCGACGGTGAGATCGACGCCCTTGAGCTCCGGCACGTACGCCTTGGAGATCATCAACAAGAAGTTCTCCAAGTTATCCGTGGAACCACCGAGCCAGTACTGCAAAGAGTTCATGAAGTTACGCGCGTCCGCCGCCTTGTCGGACGGCAAGTACTTCAGCACCTTTGGGAGAGTACGGACGAGCTTCAACATGCCCTCCTCGAAACCGCCGGATTCCTTCTTCTTGCGCATGAAGGAGGCGATCGCGGACTTGGACTGGCCGAGCTGCGCCATGGAGAAAGTGCCGAGCTTGTTCAAGCGCATGACTTGCGGCATGGACGGGAAGATGAGGCACGCGTCCAACTTCTCGCGGCACGGCTGCACGATCTCGACAATCTTCTCAGCGAGCTCCTCAATGAAGATCAAAGAACCGATGAAGATGTTCGAGGTCTCGACATCCTTCTTGAGCGCCTCCAAGTTGTCCTTGTTGCGCAACTCCTCCAACAAGTAACCCACGACCTCGACGCACACCTTATCGTTGGTTTCGTTGATCTGTTTCACCGCCGCAGAGAGCGCGGATTGGTACTGAGACTCCAACACCACGTACGTCACCTTGACCACGACGCGGCCCTTGGCGTCCGGCACGATGCGTCGCACCTCCGGGTCCACCGTCGTGAACATTCCGCGCGAACCGGACGACATATCCTCAATCTTATCCTCCTCATTCGAACCCTTCTTCTTCAGCGGTCCCTTGGGCCCCGTCGCGACCGCGCGCGTCGTCGGCGCGACGCGGCGCGCCGGCTTTGCCCCATTTTTCCCCTTGAACGCCTACGCGTCGAAAAATCCACCAATCGCGGCGTTCTCGTCAGTCACAGCGCACACCACCGCCCGCACACGACCCCATCACCCACGCGCGCCCCTAACGACGCGCTCGATCGACATCCCGCGCGTCCCGCCGCGCCGATCCGCGCGCCGCGCCGTCGTCGCCCGCGCGCGCGTT